GGAACTTAAAATAAAAAGGATACAGTGAAGACACAACCACTGGAGTCCATGCAGTTTCTGCAGGAAGAAGGCAGGAGAGGAGCCATGCCCCGTAACACATCCGTTACACCTAATTTCTGGCACATCCATGTTGGTTCATTGATTTCCAGTCCAACATTTTTCTTGTTTAACAGGCATGATCTTAACACAGTCCTTGAATTATAGCAGCAGGTTTTTTTTGTTTGTACTAACTCAGTCAGTCTGCCCAGTGATTTCAGCACAGGACTAGTCAGGGTTCCTGGGAGTCTACCTCCAACCTAGGCATTGCCAGGGCAGGGGTTAAAGAAAGAGCACCAGGAGCTAAGCACCTCTCCTGCGTAGGTGAGGTGGGAGTTCTGCCTCCTGTTTCAATAGATTTTAACTCCTGCACAAGTCACTGAATTCCTCTAGGCTTCCATTTTGCTCTCTGTGAACTGGGTGTAATAACAACACACGTGCTGTGAAGAGTTAATGAGTTTCACAGCAAGTTCAACACCTTAGATGAAAGACGGAATAGAAGTGCCATTGTTATTCTTTAGCTGAATGCTAACAGGGCACAGAAAAAAGTAACAAGGTATGGCATAAAACTAGGTGGGTTTGTGAAAAGGAGGGTGAAATTGATCAGTGACAGAGACCTACATAAGGGGAAGAGCATGGGCAAGAGTTGTCTTACGAGAGTCAGCATATAGCCATGGGGTTAGGGATTAAACAAGCTAGGATATGCTGTACCTTATGTGATTGCTGGAAATTGTCAGTCTATCTCCTGAATGAACTTCACGGGATTAAGTTAAACCTTACTGAATTACAGTTAACACCTTTGGGGTACTTTGAATAAAAATACAATTGTCTACATGTTATTGTATGTACCTTCTCTGGTGGGGAGAGGGGATGCTAATGTACTTCCTCCATTATCAACCCTTTGAAGCACTGCCCTGAAGAGGTTCACATATACTAGTTCAAACTGGATTCTCCAGGGACTAACAAAGACAGGATTTTTGGATAAATAGCCTGGTTTTAAATTGGCCCAAGACCTTCCCCCTGTTCCAGCACATGGACAGGACCTCTGGGTCCATGGAGGGTACGGGTGGAATGACTGGGCCTACTAAGACCTCATAAGACTGAGTGCTAGATCTGAGCTGAGGCTGTGAAGAATTTGTGTCCACAAAGAAAACCCTGGGGGTGGGGTGCTGAACGACTGACCTGCTAGAGCCTATGTTAGAGTTGGGGCAATGTCTGATAAGCTTATAGCATGTGTGTAGGTTCAATTATTGTTTTCTCTGTAGTACTTTTTACCTTAGGAATTGCAGTGCTGCATGGTACCTTATTACTGGAGCAATTACACCTGTTAACCATCTCTGAAGATGTCCTTGGGCAAAGCAAGCAGATGTCCTTGGGCAACCTGTCTGAGCTGGGAATAACACAGTGAAGGCAGGGAACCGTGCAGCCTGGAAATACCCTGGTCAGAAGGGGGACAGACACTGGTCTCCACCCAGAAAGGCAGTGGCTGGGGAGCTGGAAGCTTGAGGATTGGTACCCTGGCTGGCCCACAGAGGGAAATATAGGTGCAGTTGCTCTGAACTGTGACACCTTAAATAAGCAAACCCTACAGGAGACAAAGCAGAAGGGTCTGGGCCTGACAGCGGACACCATCAGGGAACCATTAGCACAAAGTGGCTGTAAGATAAAAATGCAAAATGAATGTTGGGAATATGTCAGTAGAAACATGGGGTAAAAAAAAAAAAAAGAGAGAGACCTAGAACAGTTGTGGCCTGGAAGGGAACAGTGGATAATTAGTGTTGAATTCCAGCCAAGTCTCCCCAACAAACTATAATGTTCATACTCCATGACCCTCTAGGGGGATCCCCTGCACTCTGACCTCCAGAGAGGCATTCCAGGCTGGGGCTAATAGATGGGTCGGGGTATATCTTTTCCTCCACAGCCGGGATAATTAAGGGGACCAGAGAAATAATTTATGTGGAAAGACTGTCAAAAGTGAGACTCAGGGAGGAATCTTGAATCCAGGAGAAGGGAGGGTAGAGAATGATCACTATTTTAAAAATCCAGTATCTATGATGTCAGTAATTGGACATTACGCAGCGTTCTTCTAATGGCCATAGAAAGCAGGCAAAGGCAGAACTGTATCATTTCTGTCACTTCTTTTAAAATATGTCCACTCCCATCTGAGTCTGCATATTTTACAGTCTCAGCATATTTTCCAGAAGTTTCAACGTTTGGCCGACGTGGTGAGATTTTTTTTCTTAAGTACATTTACTCACCACACAGATTACTCACATTCTCACAGCTCTACATCTTGAAAGTTTTCATCTGAGAAACAGAAAAGTAACAGCAAGTGTGGATATTATCAGTAACCCTCCAGAAAATGCAGGCACTTGAAACTGCTCTCTCAAATGTGTTGGATGTATTTAAGTCACTAATTCTCATGGATTGTGTGATAACATTACTAACATTGTTTTCTGCAGAAGAAAAAATGGTAACAGCTACTTTGGCTCCAAATGTATTATTATTTCTAGAATGTAGGTAATGATTTACATGTATCTTATGAATGGAGCATCTGAATTTTAGCAAAAATTCTTCCACTATTCAGCACGGTTTATTGGTAAAGATGAAATATAGTGTTATACAAAAAGTCTTCTATGGGGGTTGCAAAATGTCATTTTATGGGTCCTGATCTAAAGTCTATGGGATTATTTTCACTGACTTCAATGGGTGTTGGATCAGGTCCATGAAGCAGTATTATTAGAAAACAGAGTACTGTTTAAAGAGTAGCTCTTGCTAGTATAATCTTACGGGAAAATTTGACAATATCTGATCTCCACAGTCACGCAGTTACCACTGTTGCTCCTGTTTGTTATTCTAGAAATAAAGACTTACATGGTGCTGAGAATCCATTAACACAATTATAATGCCCAATTAATCTTTGCAACTTGGGTGATGAATCATATCTCTAGGTGCACCTTCGACAGAGCAGAAATTCACTCCAGTTTTAGACTATCATTTTAATGCTTAATTTAACCTCTCCAGATTAAGCTGGAGACGATACAGTGAAAGAGTTTAACTCAGATCCATATTCATAAATAACTTTCCCCAGGCATCAGTGTGAACGCCTTGGTACCCTGTGAGCCACATTTTATTACGAAGGCTCAGCAGGAAGAAAGTTATGTGCCTTCCTTTACATCTCCAATTGGATTTAGTGGTATCTCCTGCCATCTACTGATAGTTTAAGAAAAAAAAAAAGAGGAGAGGCTGGCTTTTCTGATTCATTTGTCAGTTGAACAACACGGTCAATGATCATTAGATTTTGCTAAAATGCCATAAATAATCTATTGAAGCTGGAATCCATTAGCTTTTAAAATAACTAGCGTCTATTTTTAGTCTTTCATCTTTTCTTTTTTCATCACGGCCATTGCTGGGTTTCATCTGATCTCTCAAATCATTGTCTTTTTATATATTACATATTTTTTCACCTTAACTTGAAAATTGCTCAGCAAGGCCTACTAAGCATTAGTTAGTTTTAGTATTGTGCATGGTCTAAGTATAGCCTGCAGCCTTGGGGAAAGAACAATTGCCAGCTTAAGCCCCTAGAGAGAATGAAATAAATGAGTATTTGCTATAGCTACAGATTTAAGGATCTGTTTGCTACAGTTCCAGTAAATCTCTCATTTTTCTTATTTGTAAATACAGCCTTTTAATAAAATAGTCAAAATTACTACAGTATGATGGATAGAATTCAACGTGATCTTGATACTTCAACCTGGATTTCAACATTATACTTCCTGTCGTATACTCTTACAATGTCCTTTATCAGTCAGGTGGTTCCAATCCTGCCATCAAGTCAAATGCAGGACTCTTACAGAGGGTGATGGGAGTTTGGCACATTTGGACCTAGCTGGATAGTAATATCTGCAAGATCCTGGACTTCAAAGGCGCATTTTAAGGCAAGACACATATTTTATAAGTGATGTACAGGCTTAAAAAATATCAAATATTTTGAAGAGAACTGAAGTAAATAAACATGTAGCTGTTTCCTTGCAGTTTAATGTGTCCCTATTACTGCAGTTACTAGAGTCTAGAGACACACCCCAGGAGGAATTTGACCTATTCTGCATGGGTTGAAGCAAGTTTCCAATAGTAAGAGATGACTCACATCCCATAGTTCATACTGTGCAGTGGAAATATGCTCCGTTCCTCCAAATCACAAGCCCAGCATTCATTCTTTGCCTGTCATACAGTGATGATTATAAATCTAGTGTTTACAAACAAGTCGCAGTCAAATCAGGAGAACCATCCAAATCAGTTCCAATATACAATGCGGCATTCCTCCAGATTTCAATTACATGTGCTTGAAACAGAAGGGTCTTTCACACGATTCCAAAACTCACTGGGCCATATCCTGTAGTTCTTCCGCAGCGTCTTTTCCTGCTTACCCTTACACATAACAGTAGCCCTCACTGACATGATCCCAAGGGCTTCAAAGGGGTACTCACTAGGGCTGTAAGAATACAGTCTGCCCCAAGTAAGTAGCAATGTATAACTTTTGGACCCGGGAGCAGAAATGTAACTCAGAGAGTCATAGAAAGAGTCACTTTCCCCTGTGCCCCAGGAAATAAACTCAGGTCCACCATCCCTTACCAGGTTCAGATCCCTTACCAGGCTCCAGAGTTTGGCACATTAGCCCTCACACCAGCACAGATGCACTGGCTAGTATGTTGCTAGGACAGAGTCAAGACTACACCCATTCACTGTTCCTACCTGCCCACTCTCCACCCTCCTGTAGAGACTGTTTCACCCATCCACCTCATGCTCCGACCCACAATGCAGGCTACCCTTCCCCCCTAACCCCCCACAATTTTAGGGTTGCCAACATTGTATTTCAAAACTAAGAGACTGTTTTCTTAGCACCCCTGCCTCTCTCCCAATATTATCATCATCATTATTAATAATAATAAGCAGCACTCACCTACCTTCGCCAGGGGTATTTCTTGCTGCTTTTTGCAGCTCTCACCAACTCCTGATCTTATAGGGAGATGAAAAAATAAGGGCTGTCCCTTGTAACAAGGGACTGTTGGCAACCCTAGCCCTCATCCAGCCCTGTGTGGGTAGGTAGGACAAGCCATGATTTTGACCCGAGTAAGGGCTCCTCCTGTGCCTAAGTGTTTGCAGGATCAGGCTCCCCTCCTCCTTACCTCGGGTCATTAGGAGAAATGGCACGAGCTCAATGGGCTTTTCGCCAAGGACAGAAGGATATGGCCCAATGCTTGGAAATCTTTCAAGGCAAAGTTTTTGTGACCTCTCCTCCCCCGCTTTCCCAACACGTACACACACACACACAGGCAGCTTTGAAATCTGATGGTGGTATTGTTTCAGAACTTGAAACACGTCCAATATTTGACCTTCATTTTCCAACTGTTGAGAAAACATTCCGTTCACACACCCTGATGTCTCTTCTCAAATGAGCACATGAAAATAGTAAGAAAGAAGTTTAAACCAAAGTAATTCACTTTCTAAAATAAAAACCACAAGCACTGCTTTCTATTTGACATGACAGCTCCTTAGTAACCGAAACAGAAAAACGTTCATACTGCATTTGGGTTCTGTCGCAAAATTACTTATTAATTTGTTTGTTTGCAATAGCAGCCATGATGTGCTAGGCACTGCCCAGACATACAAGGGACAGTCCCTGCCCCAGGAAGCAAAATGTGCCTTGATCTAACCCCTTCAACACATAGGTGTATCTTAATACTCTAAAGGGGCCAATTCTAAGTAATTTAAGCACTTTGGACCCAGCTGGGTCTTGAGGCTGATTCAAGGGCTGCTTGTGCATGACACCACAAAACTAGTGTATTGATGGTAGAATTGATCAGAAAATTGTCAATGAAAAAAAGTTTTTCAAGGAAACTGAAGAGAAATTTAAAAAAAAAAATCTTCTTGTGAAAATAAATTCACATTTTTGACCATCGCTAATCACTAGGCTATTTCACACATGCAATAACCTGGTACTTATATTCCAGACTAGAACAGACAATGCAAACAAAACCTCTGCAGCTGTGTAATCAATAGGGAACTGCACTGAACATGAGTACAGTCCTACCAAATTCACTGTCCATTCCGGTCAATTTCATGGCCATAGGATTTGAAAATTAGTCAATCTCACATTTTCAGGAGTTTACATCTGAAATTTCATAGTGTTGTAACGGGGGGTCCCAACCGAAAGGGAGGTCATGAGGGGGGTTGCAAAGCTCTCGTAGGGGGCGTCGCGGGATTGCCACCCTCACTTTTGCGCTGCAGGAAGCTCCAGGGCTGCTGCCCAGTCACGGAGCTTCCTGCAGCCAGGGAAGATACCCAGAGGTGGGTCTGAGCTCCTCCTCCTCCTCCCCTGCCGCCGCGCGAGTGGCCATGAACCTCTCCAGTCCAGCTGGGACTAGCAGCTAGGAACCCCCAGCTGGGGCATTCCCAGCAGCATGGGGGAGATCAGACCCACCTCTGCTTCCGGGAACCTCGTCTAGGGTTGCCATTATTGGTTGGAGGTATTCCTGGAGGTTTCATCACATGACATAATTTGTAATTAAATATTCATCTTTAATTCCTGGAGACTCCAGGCCAATCCTGGAGAGTTGTCAACTCTAGAACCTCCCCTGGCTGCAGGAAGCTCGGGGGTTGCTGCAGCCACAGAGCTTCTTGCAACCGGGGGTGGTACCCAGAGGTGGGTCTGATCTTCCACCGAGAGCAGCTGTGCAGGGGAAGAGTAAGTTCCGTCCCACCCTAGCCTGGCAGGGACTAGTGGCTGGAGCCCGGGGCACAGCAGGAGCCCCCAACTGGGGCGCCCCCAGCTCTGCCCCTGCCCTCCAATAGCTAGATTTCAAAGGGGGAAGTCTGATTTCACAGTCTGTGACATGTTTTTCACAGCCCTGAACTTGGTAAGGCCCTATACCGGAGATTTCACCCATTCTTCTGCTATCTTGGAGATCCATGCAAAAAGTCTACCATGCAGGGACAGTATATTCATCAATCAACATCCTGATTAGACGCAGAGCTTGGAAAATCCAGTTGCCAGTGGTGAGTGGAAAGCTTTCCCTGACAAGTGTTTCTCCTTGTGTTTCTCCTAAACACAACTATTTCCCCAGAGTTTAGGGGTTTGTTTTTTTATAAACAAAACAAAACAAAAAAAACAATTAAGCTTCTAGCGCATTAGCTTGTGAAAATAACCTTCCAACATGAACTAATGTCGTGTTGTGTTCCTGACTCTTCAGAAGGACCTTATGCTGCAGCTCCGAGCTTTGCCAAGGAGCAAATTGGAGTTATGAAAATAACCAGGACTCAAATTTAGTGTCACTTCCGCTACTCAGCACTCTGTGGGCAAGAGTGACACAGGCCTTGGGCATTTCAGTTTCACACCTCTGGCTGAGAGAGGAATGATCCAAAAAGAAAAGAGGAGGAACAATGAGTTGTGTAGCAGCAACAAAGAGGCCCATGCAGAGGAGCAGAATAGTAGAAATCTGATCCCGTGGCCGTAGCCAAGAGGTTTCTGAGGAGGGATAGAGTCGTGGGAACGCAGCCCCCAACATCTAGCAGCCAGGAGGCTCTTGGAGGAGGGGTGAAACATAAGACTATCCTCCCATCAGTAGGGAGGAGGCACGTAAAGAAGGAAACAGACAGCACCTTCTCCCTTCTAGATGCTGGAGGGACACCTGCTAGTCTGAGGCTGGTACACAAGTGGCAGTCCCCAGACAGGATCCAGGGACAGCAACCTGATACAAATCCCAGACCACTCTCTGAAGTTAGGATAAAAGAGCTGGGCTTCTCAGGAGTTTGTTGCCCCTAGACCCCGCTGGCAGAGGCTCCAACTTCGTGTTTACCCTGCCAAGCAGGTTACTCCTCTGGCTAGTGAGTGTCTAGTACATTTTTCAAGCCCCAAGTTCCCCTATCCATATGCTGTTTGGAAATTCTGATAAGACATAACATGAGCAGTAATCTTCACGTAGCCATAAATATTTCAATAAAAGTTACTCATATTGTACAGAAACAATCATCATTGTAACTAAGTTTTTTCACTTCACCTTGGGTAACTGAACAAAACTGAATGGGAACTGTTTATACAAACCTTGAAAGTCTGTGACATAACACGCCCTCCAGCAACGTGAAAGCAAGTCATACTCTAGTTTTCTAGACAGAGACATGCCATAGCCAAAACCCCAGTTGGTGATAGGACCTTCACTTCATCAAGAGGCACACTACACCTCACCAATCACTTCAATCATGACTAAAAACCATGGCAATCTGTGTTGGTTCAGGTACACTGGACACTCTAGTGCTGCTGGCCTCTATGAAGTCTGTGATTGCAGTCAGGAAAGTGGAGATATTTACATTGGCTTCAAGGGCAATATAAGCCCTTACTGTAAATGAGATTTAGGCCCACGTATGTTTTGGAGCCTGCATTTTCAATCACTATTATTACAATCTTTCATGTCCTCTAACAAAATGGCCAGGAATAGGTGTAGGTCAGAGGCATGCACCACCGTGAGATACAGATATCACATGGCAACTAGTATGGTTAAACGCTGGCTACAGGGCAGATCCTGTAAGGTGCTGAAGCTCCTGGTAAAGTGTGCACAGCACAGGGTGCTCCTAGAAAGCACTCAGCACCTCACAGGATTGAGCCCTAAAGTCTTGCCCATGGGTTCGGTACAGACCTCAGTAGAAACAGGACTGGGTCCAATATATGCCAGAAATACAGATATGGAAACCCTACCCAGAATCAGATTCTCATCCAGAGATCTGACATAACAAATCAGAATGCAGCACACTGTCAATTATCCAGCCCTTATAACATACAGAATTGAATTAGATATTGTCTTGTAAATAAATATGAGAATTTAGGGGAAGGTTTTCAAGTAAGTTAGGTGCCTAATTCCCATTTACTTTTAACAGAAGTTGGGTGCCCTAACACACTTTTTAAAATCCCATCCTTAGCCTTTAATTTAGAGACGTTGACTCCCTTAGGGAACTGATGGGCAGGATCCCCTGGGAGGCTAATATGAGGGGGAAAGGAGTCCAGGAGAGCTGGCTGTATTTTAAAGAAGCTTTGTAGAGGGTGCAGGAACAAACCATCCCGATGTGCAGAAAGAATAGCAAAAATGGCAGGCGACCAGCTTGGCTTAATAGTGAAATCTCTGGTGAGCTTAAACTCAAAAAGGAAGCTTACAAGAAGTGGAAACTTGGTCAGATGACTACGGAAGAGTATAAAAATATTGCTCGAGCATGCAGGGGTGTAATCAGGAAGGCCAAAACACAACTGGAGTTGCAGCTAGCAACGGATGTGAGGGGTACCAAGAAGGGTTTCTACAGGTATGTTAGCAACAAGAAGGAAGTCAGGGAAAATGTGGGACCTTTAATGAATGGGGGAGGCAACCTAGTGACAGATGATGTGAAAAAAGCTGAAGTACTCAATGCTTTTTTGGCCTCAGTCTTCACAGACAAGGTGAGTTCCCACACTACTGTCCTGGGCAACACAGTATGGGGAGAAGGCGAGCAGCCCTCAGTGGTGAAAGAACAGGTTAAGGACTGTTTAGAAAAGCTGGACATGCACAAGTCCATGGGTCCAGATCTAATGCATCCGAGGGTGCTGAGGGAATTGGCTGTGATTGCAGACCCACTGGCCATTATTTTTGAAAACTTGTGGCAATCGGGGGAGGTCCCGGACGATTGGAAAAAGGAAAATATAGTGCCCATCTTTAAAAAAGGGAAGGAGGAGAACCTGGGGAACTACAGAACGGTCAGCCTCACCTCAGTTCCTGGAAAAATCATGGAGCAGGTCCTCAAGGAAACCATTTTGAAGCACTTGGAGGAGGGGAAGGTGATCAGGAACAGTCAGCATGGATTCACCAAGGGCAAGTCATGCCTGACCAACCTGATTGCCTTCTATGATGAGATAATTGACTCTGTGGATATAGGGAAAGCAGTGGATGGGATACATCTTGACTTTAGCAAAGCTTTTGATACGGTCTTCCACAGTATTGCCAGCAAGTTAAAAAAGTATGGATTGGATGAATGGACTATAAGGTGGATAGAAAGCTGGCTAAATCATTGGGCTTAATGGATAGTGATCAACGGCTCAATGTATAGTTGGCAGCCCGTATCAAGTGGCGTGCCCCAGGAGTCGGTTTTGTTCAACATCTTTATTAACGATCTGGATGATGGGATAGATTGAACCCTCTGCAAGTTTGTGGATGACACTAAGCTGAGGGGAGAGGTAGATATGCTAGAGGGTAGGGATAGGGTCCAGAGTGACATAGTCAAATCAGAGGATTGGGCCAAAAGAAATCTGAAGAGGTTCAACAAGGACAAGTGCAGAGTTCTGCACTTCGGACGGAAGAATCCCATGCACTGCTACAGGCTGGGGACCGACTGGCTAAGCAGCAGTTCTGCAGAAAAGGACCTGGGGATTACTGTGGACGAGAAGCTGTATACAAGTCAGCAGTGTGCCCTTGTTGCCAGGAAGGCTAATGGCATATTGGGCTGCATAAGTAGGAGCACTGCCAGCAGACTGAGGGAAGTGATTATTCCCCTATATTTGGCACTGGTATTGCATCCAGTTTTGGGCCCCACACTACAAAAAGGATGTGGCCAAATTGGAGAGAGTCCGGCGGAGAGCAATGAAAATGATCAGGGGGCTAAGGCACATGACTTATAAGGAGACGCTGAGGGAACTGAGCTTGTTTAGTCTGCAGAAGAGAAGAAGAGTGAGGGGGGATTTGATAGCAGCCTTCGACTACCTGAAGGGGAGTTCCACAGGGGATGGAGTTTGGCTGTGCTCGGTGTAGCAGATGACAGAACAAGGAGCAATGGTCTCAAGTTGCAGTGGGGGAGGTCTAGGTTTGATATTAGGTAGTGAAGCACTGGAATAGGTTACCTAGGGAGGTGGTGGAATCTCCATCCTTAGCAGTTTTTAAGGCCCGGCTTGACAAAGCCTTGGCTGGGATGATTTAGTTGGTGTTGGTCCTGCTTTGAGCAGGGGGCTGGACTAGATGACCTCCTGAGATCTCTTCCAACCCTAATCTTCTGTGATTCTTCTATGATTCTATGATGCGCACACAACTCCAAATAAGCAAAATTTAGCCCTTAGTTAACTTTAAATAGTTTTTATTTAATATCTTCCTGCCTTTTGACACTAGTATAAACATTTAGAATGAGGGACAAAAGAGTAAGAAAATCTTTCCGTAACATGGCTGTGTGAGTCCTTTTAAACAGTGTAAAAGCTTCTGTTAGCAGTGTATTGGTTCTTGTAAAAGTATTTTACTAGGTTATTGCAAAATCCTATATGAATACAAAATTAAAACCAAAACTATCCAAATCCATTATAATGAAAATTTTAGTATGTCCCAGTGAAATCAACAAATGTTTGCATTTTATCCACATTGTGTCTACATTATATGACATTTAATTGATATTAAAAATTATTGTGAAGATCACAGATTTGTATGCAAAATAGGTGACTTTCAAAGTTGTTTACCTTGATCACTTACGTTTGAAAATATATAGATCAGAACAGTACATATTTCCAAAGCCCGCTACAGGATTTTAGCTAAGTGATTTCTGCTAACTTTAATGAGAGGGCACAATGTCAGTTGCAACTGCACAGTATAGCTGAGACACCCCCTACAGGCATTCTGTCCGGGTCAGGTTGGGGATATATTTGAGGTTCAGTGGGAAGAAGTTTGTACTGTGACTTTCCAGTCTGTGGCTCTCCTGGGGATACACAGAAGACCTCCAGGGCTGTCAAGCCAGCACCTGTCATAAACATTAAATTCATAGAAAGCTCAAAGACCCAATTCTGAAAACACTGTCACACAAGAGCAGCCCCACTGAGTTCACATGCATAAAGCTAAGTAAGTATGCATGTAAGGCTCCAGGGTCCATGTATGTGGACCCCTGAGCTGAAGTCTTTTGCCTTCTGTGGGGCTGCAGGAGGGCCCAGGGATCTACTTGCATGCATTCAGTTGCAGGATCAAGGCCCATATATTTTTTAAAAGCCTTCAAGACAGCCTCTCATTTTGTCCTTCCAATTAACCGTGGGCACAAAAGATAAGACATTTAACTACTTGCTTTGAGAGCACAATCAAATAGCTACATGGTTAAATCCAACCACTTTTATCTGCAGGTGTGGACACAGAAATGCAGATGCAGCATTAGAGGCCACCTTTAAATGTCTGACCCAAAAAGTTTTTAAAAATATTTTTAAAACATGATAGAAACGAGAATATTATGAAGTTCTCTGAGTTACGCTTGACATATTTTTCACACAGCAGAGCTTGGAAGTACTCCTTTTCTTTGTGCGAATACAGACTAACACGGCTGTTACTCTGAAACCCTTATCTCAGTTGTAACTCAGAGAACTCAATAGCAATTGTAATGTTAAAGCGCCTGATCCTGCAAACACAGTGACTGGTTTTCTTGCCTTTAGCTTCAGGCAATGGGTGTGGTTGGATTTTATTTACTTATGAACCCTTCCCCCGCGGCTTTCATAAGCCCATTGAGATATTTCTCTCAAAAAAACAACAACAACTAAAGGTGGCTTAAACTTTGTTCCCCTTCCTTTCTCGGTTCAAGCTGAAACCCATCCGCCAGCCCAGAACAAAGGCAAACAATACTTTCTATCCAAATCATTCGGTATCCAGGAAAAGGGGCCGGCGGGGGGAGAAAACCACAAGCTCTTGTGTTGCCCCGGTCGCATAGCAGTGGGTAGAAGTTTACAGGCTGCAGCCAACGGCTGGCGATGGAACTGGGCCACGGCGGGCTGGTTTTCTCCGCCTTGCATGAAGTCATGGTTGAAATATGACATTCCACTTAAAGAGCTGGGGGGAGTTAAACCTGCAGCAGCAGGGGGAAAGCTGGCGGGCCCGATCCTGCTCCCACTGAAGGCGAAGGCAACCCCCACACACACACCCACACACCCACCCCCGGCTCCGGGATTGGTTTCCTCGCTGGGGAGGGGACTCGGAAGCGTGTGTGTGTCGCACAAAGTTGAGCGGAGCCCGGCGTTGGCGGACTCTCGCCTCCCACTGGGTGGGGAGCGGGGGAGCCTTTAAGAGAGGCTGGCAGCGCGGCGGGCAGACCGCGTCCAGCGGCGGGTCCCCCCCAGGAAGGAGCGCGGCAGAGCAGGCCGCCCGGGGCCCTGGCCGTGCTCCCCGCCATGGGCGAGGATGGGGCGCAGGCCGAGAGGAGCGGCGCCCACGCTCCGCCGAGCCCCAGCCCGGAGCCCTCGGGCAGCCCCAGCCCGCTGCCTGCAGCGCCGGGCGAGGCGATCCGGGAGGGCTCGCAGGTGAACGCCATCACCGTGCTCACGCTGCTGGACAAGCTGGTGAACATGCTGGACTCGGTGCAGGAGAAGCAGCTCAGGATGGAGCAGCGGCAGATCGAGCTGGAGGGCTCGGTGAAGGGCATCCAGGGCGAGCTGAGCAAGCTGTGCAAGCACCACACCTCCACCGGCAACGCGGTCAGCAAGCTGCTGGAGAAGTCGCGCAAGGTCAGCGCGCACACCCGCGAGGTGCGGGAGCGCATGGAGCGCCAGTGCGCGCAGGTCCGGCGGCTGGAGAACAACCACGCGCAGCTGCTGCGCCGCAACCGCTTCAAGGTGCTCATCTTCCAGGTGAGTCCGGCGGGGCGGGCTGGACCCTGCTGCTCCCCCACCCGAGGGGGCGCCTGGCGCCTTCCGTCCTCTCCCTCTCGCCCCTGGCCCTGGGGGCAGGCGGTTGGAGGCGCTCAGCCACCTCCGCTCTTTCTCCCCTAGCCACTCCGGCCAGGGCTGGTGGAGAGCCCAGTGCCTTCATCTACCCTTGGGCCGCTGAAAGGGCGAGGCCCGCTCCAGCGGCGGGGCTCCAAGGCGTGGCCTCTCACCCCCGCTCCCACTGTGCGGCGGCGATTAGTTCCCTTCGCTCCCTGGTGAGAAATGTCACGCACGGCGCTGTACAGAACTTCTCAACTCCTCGCCCTTGTGCGAGGCATGGGCTTCCCGCTAGCCATGCCTTTGCCAGACACTTCAGAGCTGCAGGTGCGCCCCCCGGGAGAACACCCTACTGAATTAAATGTGTGTAACCTGTGCAGTTTCCCTTGGAGCTACCTGCATTGGCCAGGGCAGTGCTGCCCAAGGATGGCTCTTAGGAGAGACTTGGTTTTCTCATGGAAATACACTGTTCATCTCAATCGTCCTAGGGCCACACACAAAGAATGCTCAGATTCATCATCTGTAGAACACAAGTCCTTTTTACATGGATACAAATACTTTCCAGACCAGTGCTGTGGTGAACTATGCTCACTTCCCTTGTACAAAACATGCACTGTTCCCCCCCCCCCCATCCCCCAGCGCAATATATATTCTCTGTCACTACTATTGGTGCTTAACTAGCAAGAACACTCCGATTCACTGGCCCATGAAAGTAGGGGGCTCTTTATACATTTTGCATCTCTGTGCCACACCTAACACAAGTCACAGATTCATTACCATTCTGCAATACCGCTACGTTATCATGCATACACACATTTTCCACTTCAGAATTACTAGCACCTCCGCAGTGTGGGCACACATTCGTGGCCAATAAGTCCGTGTATTTTAGCATGGACAGTTTGTAACTTTTATGCATGCAACAGTTCTTAAGAAAGCATGCACAGAAAACTCTGCATTTCACCAACCAGTTTATGTTGGCTTCCCCCCAGGAAGGGGAAGGAATCCATTGCTGCTGTTATGGTTTCATTGCAGCACAAGAGGAGCTAGTGGAAACTTTCAGAGAGAGCGCATAATTCAATCGTTAACTCTTTGAGGTCACAACTGGGAAAAAGTAACCTTCCCGTTTTGATCAAGGAAGTAGAATACTTAGAATATTAAGAGTTCTTGTTGCCCTCGACAAAATGCCAACTTTGATTTTTAGGTTGACCCCAGCATATTCCGCAATCTATTAAAAACACAGTTGTAAAACTCAGCTTTCTGTTTGTCAGCCTTTCGGTGGTATGAACGAACAGTTTACATATTTTCTCCTTTTTAAGCAATGATGTGGATTGTACACAACATGAATTTTAACCAAGTATGGGACGTGCCTTTTACTTCTAAAAAGTGTCATTGAAATTTTGTTTCAGGAAAATCCGATTTGACTTCAGCTAGTTAAATGCTGAAGTGTAAATTTATCTTTTATGCTGTTAAATATTATGTTAGATTATATATTCCACTTTCATATATATACTTTTTTTTTAATCAGGGTAGTACTAGATTTAAAGATTTGGCAGGCTTAATTAATCTACAGCCCATTCCCTTAGGAAAGACCCCACCTTGCTGCTTATTATTCTCTTGAAGCTATAAGTTAGTATTTTAAAGACAAATGAGGAAGAGATCATGGCACATATAGACATGTATGGTCTTTTCCACCTCAAAAGCAACTAAAAAGCTGACCATGTACCAGATGTATTAAAAGAGATGCAGTACCTGGGTTTTTAAAAAGAATTTCAGATATTTTATCGAAATTTAAAATAGTACTATTTCAGGGATCAGATACCAAAAGATGGGTTTGAGATACAGAATTTAGATTTTTAAACCTTTAAATTTGGGGTGGGGTTGGCTCTAAAGTTTTGATTTGGTCCAGATGTTTATTATTATTTATATGACAGTAGCATCCAGAGATCTGTCAGAATCAGGGCATCATTATGCTAGGGGCTATACAATTTTTTTCAAAAAACAGACCTCCTTTTCTCTAGAGAATGTGCATTGTAGGATTATGAAAAGACACAACAGGTGGAAGAAACAGACAAAAGGACGGAGTAAGGGTGAGATACTGGCTCAGTTCACTTCTTGTCTTGCTGTGCACTGCTGGTAGGGCTTTTTAGGCATCATGGTAAAAGTTAGTCTTGAGGGATTTGAAGGAGGACAAGCCGGTGGCTGAAGAGAAATATTTGCCAAATCAAATCCTCTGAAAAGTTCAGGAACCTTCAAAGTGGAGGTTTTGGCCTGGGCCTTTCTTTAATACCAGGTTCCAAAATGCATGATTGGTCACAAAAGCAAACCAAACAATGTAGCCCCATTTTTGTGAGTGACTGCAGAAGGAAATTCACCTTGTACAGTTCCATCACTCAAAGAGATACTTTCGTACAGAAGGGTGTTGTGTCCTAAATCTCTCTACGGATTCAGAGGACCTGACTCTCCTCTCACTTACGTGAACCAACCCATAGTTGACCCCAGTGTAAATCAGTGGAGCTAACCTGCTGTAAAGCTGGTGTAAATAATAGGAGAATCAAGCCGAAGGCCCTTATTTAGCAAAGAAAAAAAAATCACATTTAACTTCAGTAAATGTATTGCCAAGAGAACAGAGAGACAAGGTAGGTGAGGTAATATCTTTTATTGGATCAGCTTCTACTGATGGAAGGGACAAGTTTTTGAGTTTCGCAGAGCTCTTCTTCAGGTCTGGGGATTGTAACTAGGGTGAATAAGCTAAATACAAGTTAGGACAAATGCTTAAGCATAAGGAGTTCACACATGCTTCAGGGAGACCATTTAGTTTAAACTGAAGTGGGCAATTGAGGGTTAGATTGATAAGCATACAGGGCACTCCATATCTGACCTCTCAATCCCCATCCTCAACGGAAACCTGCACACCACCTTCAAAAGACAAGTTTGGAAACTGAAATTCATAGACGCTAGAATTGTGCTAGATACTAAAATCCATGGACTAAGCAGAGACACTGGTCTTATGGTTCATTACAAGAATTTGTTACACACTCTGCTGCCTGCTCACCTTTAGTTGCCCACTTTATTTTAAGTGGTCTTCTACAGCATGCGTGAACCTCTGGTGCCTAACCATCTGGCCTGAGGTTAGCTCGGACACTCTGGTTACCTTCCCCAGATCTGAGAAAGTGCTCTGTGAAACCTGAAAGCTTGACCCTTCCAAAACAGAAGTTGGTCCAATAAAAGATATTACCTCACCCACCTTGTCTCTTTCTCTCGTCCTGGGAGCAACATAGACACAACAACATTGCTAAGAGATTGCAATACTACTTGTCAGTAACACAAACCAGCTATTAAAGAGAAACTTGGGTGTCTTGTGGACTGAAGTCCCAGACAAAGGTCTTCTGGCCTGTCACATTTGAGTGGCTGGTGTGAAAGAGCTGTTTGGAGAGGTTGGAATTCTCTCCCAGGAGTGAAGATGGGAGGGGCTGGGATTTTCCACCCCCAGAGGCTGCGCTGTTCTCTTTCCCAGCTTGTACTCTGCTCAAGGGAGCACACTGACCACACCCTGGCAAGGATCCCAAATGTTGGTCATGATGCTTTTCTGTTGCCTTACTTTCTTTCTGCATAAGCCTGCTAATAACTGTGTTACCTGGCTTCAGATCTCCCCAAAAGCTGTATGGTGTCTTTAAGAGACATTTAATATGGAAAAGACCTATTAGTCCTCTAGAGCAGGGGTGGGCAAACTTTGTATGGAGGGCCAGTTAGGGGAGTCTGCCTCCCCAAACAGCCAGGCATGGCCCAGCCCCCGGCCCTTATTTCCCCACCCCCACCTCCCAGGACTCCTGCCCCATCCAACCCCCCTTGTTCCCTGATGGCCCCCTCGGGACCCCTGCCCCATCCATGCCCCCACCACCACCACTCCCTGTACCCTGACTGCCCCCCCATCTGACCCCTCCTCTCATTCCTGATTGCCCCCTGCCACCCCATCCAACCCCCCCCCAACTGCACCCCCGGGACCCCTGTCCCCATTCAACTCCCCTGTTCCCCAACCCCTATCCACACCCGCGCCCCCTGACAACCTCCCCGCTCCCTGCCTCCTTATCGCACTGCCTGGAGCACCGGTGACTGGCGTCACGACAGCCGCGCTGCCCGGCTGGAGCCAGCTATGCCACCGCGTAGCACAGAGCACCGGGTCAGGCTGGGGTCTGCAGCTGCACTGCCCCAGGAGCTCGCAGCCCTGCCGCCCACAGCATTGCGCCAGCGGTGCAGTGAACTGTGGCCCCCGGGGGGCAGGGGGAGACGGTGGGAGACAGTGGGGGAGGAGCTGGGGGCTAGCCTCCCGGGCCAGGAACTCAGGCAGGAGGGTCCCATGGGCTGTAGTTTGCCCACCTCTGATCTAGACTGTCCCCCCAGGAAAAGAATTAAACACAGGAAAAAGCTCAAAAGGATGGATGGATTTGTGTATGACACTGGGCAGGGACCTCTGGGCGAAAGAAGCAACTGCTGCTATGATACAGTATTAATATCAGATTTGTTTTGAAAATGGAATTTGGATAAAGGGCAATTTTGTTTAGGTTTTATTTTCTGCCACTTAAAAACAAATTTAACTTTCATGCTGTGCATTTCTCATTAAGGACTCTGTCTCCTGTTTTAGAAAAACAACTTCATGTGAAAATAAAAGCAAAGATTAGGGACTCAATTCTGAATTTGAGTTTGCTCCCTATTGTTGCTTTAACAGGAGCATTGGGTGTGTAAGGAAGACATGATTGAGCTCAGGGTTTGTATTTTCGGAGGACAGGCTGTGAGTTGTTTGCATCGGATTTCCCTCAATGTATACACTCAATATGAAAACACAGTGAGAAAACTATCAATTTGCATATTTTGTATTCAAATGTTTAGGGGTTTTTTCTCCCGAGACGTCCTGTATTGTTCCTAGTTTG